AATAAAATAAAAAAACACCAAGCTAACACACAAACAACAAAGAGATCAACACACACAAGTAAGAAGAGCATCTTTTCCAGAGCACCAGATCTTAGTGACAGAGATGAAACTCCGCAGCCATCTTGACATCTCTTAATTCAGTTTTGTGGAAAGGTGGAAAGAAAAAAAAAGTAGCTGCGTCTTCAAAAATACCTCCCRTGCTTTCAAAGAGAACACGCAGCAACAACAAAACAACAACATACATAAAAAAACATTGTCTACACTCACATCATCACTTCACAACCTCAGGGGAAGAAGTGGCACAGTTAGACTCATAAACAGGTGTCCACCGACCCCCAGTTCGCAGCGCTTTAATAGCTGTTTGATGTTTTTGATGTCTAGTCAGCTCGATCGTACCTTGCTGCTTGATAATGAGGGCCAATAATGATTCCTGAGCTTGAGGGGTTAATGGTATGTAACCGGCAGCGCTGCTAATTACACGTTACAAACTATTTATCAGAATCTCCATCTGCACAAGCACCGCAACTCTCATTGTGCACGCTAAATTACTCCACGGATTATCATTGTAAAGCAAGTTTCAGTAATTAGGGAACCATACTGCTGTTTTCTTATTCTGAGTGCGCCAAATGACATCAAGAGGAGAGGAGAAAAATAGAATGACTTGATAATTTGGACTTGATTTTAAGCTGGCTGTGTGGTGGAATCTGCTTCCCTGGAAGAAACACACAAGGAATCAGTCACTGTTTTTGTTTTTTTTTTTTTTCTTTTTTTCTCCCCTTTGCTTCGCCGTGGTTTGGCTTGAAGGGAGTTTGCACATTAAAGTGAGAGAGGGGTGTAAATTGCATTGAGGAGCCCACATTGTCTTAGCAAAACTGTTTAGTGTCTGTTCGAAGGGCAGAGAAGTCTGTATGAAAGTTCTGCAAAAAGAACGCTCCAACGGGCCCAACTCTCCAGTGATCAGTTATTCGAGAAATAACCGTCGTATCCCTCGGCCCCAAAGGTGTTCCTGAGAGCGTGGAGACGTGTACCATCTCCTCTTCTTCTCCGCAAATTTTTATTAAAATTACCTTCATTAGGAGACAGTGTTCATTATAAAACCAAAAATGCTGGTCTCTCAGGGCCCTGTGGATTAATAAGGACAGCGGTGTATTTTAAGCCGTAAACTCAGCTCCTCACTGTCCTTAATCTCCTTCCTACTTCACAAGGCCAAATTAACACCTCTCCTCAGCTCTGACGGGACCTCATTAGCAAACTTCCAGGGAAAGAAAAGAGGAGAGCGGAACGAGAAAAAAAAGGAGAAGAAGAAGGGAAGCGACCAATGACAGCCACCAGCTCTGGGATTAACCCTTTCTCCTCCTCCAGCTCCCGACGAAAAACTAGGTCGTCAATGTGTTTCTAATCAGTCGCCTGGTTAGTGATAATTAGAAGGCAAGATTGGACGAGAGAAGAAGAGAGAGAAAGTGGGTGGGGAACGCTGAAATGAAAAAAGAAAAGAAAGGGAACCTGTCATGTCGCGAGCACTTCAAAGGAGCCGACTTCTCCTTTAGAAGTGGCATGATGAAGGTCCAAATACCACGAGGCGCTCCTCTGGGCTTCCGAACCGCAGTTGAGGAGGAGGGGTTGATGGGGGGGGGCAAGGACCCAGTTTGTTCTCACACATGTAGGCGTCCGTACGTGTGCACATGCCACAACTTCACCACCTGTACGGCGCAGCTGCAGGGGGAGCGCTGGCCTCCTCCAAACCACACGCAASCAAAACAAACTGGTCCGGCTCCTCCTCCTCTTCCTCACACGCGGCCCCCGCAGCAGCAGGTCCAGGTCCCACAGCTCATACCGAGGTTGTGCAGACGACTGCTGGGTAAAGTTCACAAGTCTCTGCAAGCTGTTTGACATTACCAATAAGGTCAAAGTGTACCAGAAAACACCAGAGGATTATGGCATTGTGATGTGTTAAACTGCTCCACCATGTCTGTATGTATGTATGTGTGTGTGTGTGTGTTTTATTTTCTCTACTGCTCCTTTTCTCGGTTTTCTCGGTTTCTACAGTGCCTTGAAAAATCTCCTCACAGCCGTTGAACATTTTCACATTTTGTCATGTTAAAGCAACACACKTTATAGTAATTTCCTGGGATTTTATWTGTTAGACCAGKGGTSTGCAACCTTTATAAGAGYCATTTCTGCTACTTGGCTCACTAATAAAATGTATCCAGAGCCGCRAAAYAAGCTACAACCWTGATTATCAACTGATGGTCCGTGGGCCTTTTCAAGAACCTTCACAGCCAGTTGAGGTGACATTATAAAGCTAAAGAATATATTGTGAATTGTATTATTTATTATTATTTTTACACATCGAGACAAATGAAAAGGCCATATTCATGTAAACAAGAAAAATACAGTATGAAGTTTATACTGAATTTCATAAAAACTAGTACAACTGAACTATTCAGGTATATTTTTTTCTAATTCTTATTATCATGTAGTCTTTAAAGTTAATTCTAACGGATTYGAGAGGAAGAAGTTGAATTATTTAAGTAAACAACAGGCTAGCATGGGCTAACATGTTTTACTTTTTGTATTAGTAGTATTGATCACATACTTGCACACAAATWGATTTTTGTTGTGAATATCAAAACCAAACAAACAAAGAAATTCTTTTGTTTGGTCACATTTTCAAAGAGCCACTGCAGAGGGATCAAAGAGCCACATGTGGCCCCAGAGCCACAGGTTGCAGACCCCTGTGTTAGACCAACACAAACAGAGCATAACCGTGAAGTGGAAGGATACACGGTTTTCAAATAGTTTCAAACAAAGATCCTAAAAGTGTGTCATGCATTTGTATTCAGCCTCCTTTATTCTGATACATCTAAACATCCAGGGCAATGAACTGCCTTCAGGAGTAAATGGTAAATGGACTATAGCATCTTTCTATCCAACCAGGACACTCAAACCTCTTCACACAATAATCTGTGTCMTCATTTACCCATTCACACAGCTCCGTAAGGTCTCTACAATAYTAACATGTATAATCATCTATGGAGGCTAATCAGTGCCAATCACATTCATACACTGATGAGACACACATCAGAGGCATTAGGRGTGAAGTGTCTTGCCCAAGGACACAACAACTGAGACAGCTGGAATGAGGGATCGAACCAGCAGCGTACCAGTTCCAGGACGACTCCCCTAACCACTCTACCACAGCTGCCCCAAAGAAGTCACCCAATTACAAAACAGAGTCAGCATTGTGTAATTTAATCTTAGTATAAATACACCTGAAGGCCTAAGATGTTTATTATGTGRCATTAGTGATRAAACAGCTTCATTCCTGAAGCTGTACGACTTTTAAACCACACGGCACTGACACTTTACCAGGTTAATTACATTTGCAATAATCTGCTACTCTCCCAACTTTCCTTAGCCCCTATATCTCTATATTTTGTATATTTTGTTTATTTATCTATTTTTATGTTTACTCTATTCAATTTTTATTCTATGTTTATCCATTGTGTCTGTATTTTGTAAATTTCTTATTGGGTGTAACTGGACTGTGAGAGTACAAATTTCCCTCCATCTCATGCACCACATGTGATGCGAATGACAATAAAGTCTGCTTGAATCCTTGAAACATCATCAGCACAGGTCTTAGTCGTGACACAAACCTGGACTTTATGAAAGAGTGGCAAGAAGTCACTGCTGCAAGAAACCAATAAGAAGTCTTGTTTGCAGTTTGCCACAAGTCATATATGGCACAACACAGACATGAAATAAATACACAAAACTGAAAAATTTGAAGTTTTTAGTCGTATCATGATGAAATTTGGCAAATTTCAAGAGATGTGTATAGTTTTTAATGGCACTGTGTATCAAATTATAGCTTTGATCTTAGTAGCTTTATAAAACAAAGTTGATGTTTGCACTGGGCAGTGGTTGCACTGGCACCACTTCAATCTCTTCTCTCTCTTTTGGTTATTAGTTGCAAGTCCTTTTCCTGAGCAAAGTCACTTGACAGTGAGAACACAAACTCATGGAAGTTACACAAGAGAGACTAAGAGATGCCCAGAGAGGCCTTCAGCTAAGACAGAAAAAAAATCATGGCTCATTATCAGCCATCTATTTTATCTACTATAAGGCATCTTTAGACTCCCAGTTGTCAGACATCAATGGTGCTTAAATTAGTCCTTTGGGTTCCTGTTTGCACAATAAAGATATGGACTGGTGCTTCTGATATTTCTTCAACTTTACAACTGGAGTAATTGAATTAGCAGAGAAATCAGCCACAGAGCACTGTGGTGGAGCGTGGCACTGATGGCTCCTGCTCACGAACACGGCTGCTTGGGCATAGTCAATTAGAAAGCATTAAAAAGAAGCTGCCAATAATCACTTCCAAGCGATCTGAACAATCCATGCTGAGTGTTCTCGTGTTTACAGATGATAGGGCTTTCAGGTCGGTGCCGAGCAGGAGTTTAGAGGGGAGAACGAGACTGAAAACATATTTGTGGTATCGTTTCCATAAGCCTCTGCTTTGCGGACCATAACGCAGCTCACAAATGTGATTTATGACCTTGGTTTAATGGCTGGAGCAGAGTCTTTGAAGGTATCAGATGACTTTTTCAATATGACGACGTCAGAGGGGGCACGGTGGATGCACTATCACAACAGGAAATGAGGGCTTGTCTCAGCCAAGAAAATATGAGAAGCCAGATATCTGATCATCTAATGGCAGAAAGATGCTACTTCACTTTGACAGAAAAGGCATCAGTCAATAAGCAGCAGATGAGCAGTAACATGAAAAGTATGCCATAGATTTCTCCTTCCATCTATCAAATTATTCATTCAAGGAGCACAGCAGTCTGTYCTGGTTCATACAGTATCCAAACGCAGTGTCTCCTTGAAGTCATTTTGTGGAATAGGAGTGAAAGGAATCATCAATAAAACGCTACTTGGACAGTTTCAGACTCTTTCAGTCTGTATGTAAAAATAAACAGAGGCATGTGACTCACCTGGGCCTGGAAGCTCTTGAGAACAGGTGCCACCATCTCCCGGACCTCCTGTGCACAGATAAAAAAAGAAAACTCCGTCTCAGCATTGTTTTGTTTTTTTTTTTATAATTGTTCAGATGTTCTACCTGTTCAGGAATCAGATCAGCCCCGGTGAGGCACAAACAAACTCCACAAGAAAAAAAAAGACGGAAAAATCATTAATGTTAATGGATTTTCACTGTAGCTGTTCTTGCGCTGCACGTGTGCTGCCGGTGAGGTGTGCTGCTGTACGGTGAGGGTATTAGTGGTTAAACCTAAACGGTTTGACTGGGCATGTTTGAAAAGTGGGGCTTTCCAATAGCTTATGTTGGAGCTGAGAAATCYAGACTCGTGCAAGCTCTCACAGCCTCAGGTAAGGGGATTGTGCTGCCAGTGGTGACAGCCTGATCCCGTCTTAAACGCCTGTATTATACTGACAAGATAACAGCACAACACTACAAACTCAAACTAAGATGGGCAGGCAGTGCAGCAAAGATTCATCTATAAAACATAAAAAATATTTTCCACAGCCAAACTTCAATGGACGGACATTTCAAACGGAATGACAAAAAAATATATATCATTTACAGTTTGAATTTTTCCATTTATTCAATTTAATCTGTCTTAATTGCTGCTTTGCTTTACAAAAATAAAAAGGAATGAATTGTTGGCACTGACTCAGAGTAACACAGAAGAAAATAAAAGAGAGCAAAGTAATGCACAGATGGCATCTCAGCATGTATATGCACTGTTCAAAAAATAACCCTGACACTTTTAATTCTGCATAATGTCAGCGTCCTAATGTTGCTACGCTTTACCACAATAACAGTGAAACATTTTAAACTCTGGTGTCACAACTCTTAATTTACAGTAACGTTGTGACAATAAAAATGTGTTCTGAAGAAGAATCAGAATCAGTTTTATTGCCATTGTCAATGAACAGAATTCACAGACTAGGAATTTGCTTCAGTGTAAAGGTGCCATAAGTATAAAATATAACAAATAAAAAAATACAAAGGATAAAGTAAAAAGTAAAAAATATAATATGTACACCAGTTCAATACAGTAATCAGAGCAGACAATATAGTTGAGTAGTGCAGTTAGATCCAATGATAAAAGNGACTAGGAATTTGCTTCAGTGTAAAGGTGCCATAAGTATAAAATATAACAAATAAAAAAAATACAAAGGATAAAGTAAAAAGTAAAAAACATAATATGTACACCAGTTCAATACAGTAATCAGAGCAGACAATATAGTTGAGTAGTGCAGTTAGATCCAATGATAAAAGTGACCTGAAAAATAAAGCAGGGGTTCTCAAACTTTTTGGGTCTGGAGACCCCTTTCAAGGGTGAAAACCATCAAGGGACCCCCTCATAAACCCCATGCTGTTTTAAATATAATTTACTGTCATTTTACCCCCGAATTCCATGGGAACAGTATTTTGTTCAGTGTGTTTGTTTTTCTAGTGCATTTTCCTCCACGTGCATATTTTTTAAAGAAAAAACAAATTAACAATTTATTGAAATCCTTTGAGGCCCCCCAAAATACAGCTTGCTGACCCCTGCGGGTCCTGGGACCCCAGTTTGAGAACCTCTGTTCTAAAGTAATCAATTACACAAAACATATTATTGTATGTAATGTATTTTTATGTTTTTCTGTAAAAACATTTTTACTGTAATTTTGTCCATTTGCAACAAAATGAAGTCTCTAATTTCATTTTAATGAATATAGACAAAATAGATTGACGTTTAGAAAAAAACATTTTACCTAACAGAAACTGGTTTGTATGTCATTAAAGTACTTGTGACATGAAATTCTACTGATATATTTGAGTGCATTTTTGGAAAGATAAAATTAATGATGAATTGAAAACCCAAATTCACAACAGTGAAATGAACAGTTGTTGAGATATTTGCATAAGCAGAAACAGGAAGTGATGTCAAAGGGCTACAATGGTTAACAACATACTGCAAAGAATATGATGTTTCTCCAGAGTATTTTGAGTTATTATCAGGTAGATAAAGAAGAGTCAGATTTATAAAGACCAGGAAGTTACCCTTTTTTAAAGAGTTCCCCTTTGACRTCACTTCCCGTTTCATTTGGACTGCACCAAATTCAGCAAAAAATATGCACGTTTTGTGACAAACTGGGTAAAAATCATGTGAATGATGCCAATTTCCCTAAATATTCGGATACTTTCTTTAATTTTTTGTAAGTGAAGAAAAAGCATGTCACGGGCACTTTGGTGACCAAGACTGTAAACAACTCCGGAGAGGTTTTGACCCACTCCTCCATACTTGGTTGCTATTTGGCAACTCCAAGCTTCAGCTCCCTCCACAGACTTTCTTTTGGATTACAGGCTGGAGACCAACTGGCCCTCTCCATGACCATAATGTGCTTCTTTGAGTTGATGCCTACTTTAGTCACCTGAGTACAGCATTTCTACCAAMCTTCACTGAATCATTTCCATGTTTAATGTGAAGCATGACACAGGCCTCACAGGTGATGTAAAAGTTTAATCCATTACTGTACTGTAGAGTGTGTGACCCAGGGTAGTCTGTCTTCAGATCATTAAAATGTAGTTGTGGGCTGATCCCTCCTTCTCCTCATCACCATCATCATCCTCCATTCTATGAGGAAACATCTGAGATGGAGAGCTACTGCAGGTCATTTTAAATTTGATCCATTTCCAAATAATCAAACGGCTCTCTCCTTCTCACCAAGCTTTGTGCTGATAATCGTGCAGCCCAGTCCAGTCTGGTGCAGATCTACTGTCTCGTCCCTGATGTCCTCTGACAGCTCTTTGATCTTATCCATGGTGGAGAGGTCCAAATGGAGAAAATTGATTCTGTGCACATCTGGGCTCTATACATATAATGAATGCAGATAAAAGTGTCTGATTGATTGATTGATTAATTGATTGATTGATTGATTGATTGATTGATTGATTGACTGATTGGTTGGTTGATTGATTGATTGATTGATTGATTGATTGATTGATTGATTGATTGATTGATTGATTGATTGATTGATTGGATTGATTGCCATATGTTCACGTAACTCTCCTCTCCCCGGGTTGTTGTGATAAAATAGTTCATTTCTCTGAAAGTGGGGAAACTTACAAAAACAGCAGGAGAGCCTGTATTTATTTCCTCTCTGCTTTTGCAGCAGGTCCGTCTGTGTTGTAAATGAAGCACTAAATTACCTCTGAAAATGCCAAGTAAGAAAAAAAAATAGTGTCCAGACAGGGATGGAGAAAAACAACATGAGAAACCTGTTTTTTTTTTTACTTTGAGGACAAAGATCTTTCACATAAATAGTCAAGAGCATGTCATTGAACAGATCAAAGAAGTAAAAAAAATAAAATAAAACAAAAATGAGCAACTGTGTGAAAGAAAAAAATGAAAAAAGTTGTGGGATTTGACTTAGTGAGACTCGCAGATTAATAAAATTTGCTTGTTTATATAAAATATGGCACAAACTGTGTTTTAAAAAAACTTGTATTTATTCCTTTGTTGTAATAAATCTTTTTAACCTTGAAAAGCCTTTTTATGTTTCCTTAAACGGTGCCATGTTTGTAAGGAAAATGCACTTGTGGGTTGAGCAGCAGAATTGAGTATGTGGGTTGTTCCCATGAAAAATTTGCCAGATTTTCTCTGCCAGTGCCAAACAGCTTATGATGCTGTTGCCTCTTGTTTGGTGTTTCCTTAACTGGATGATTAAAGTCTGAAGAAACAAGACATATTGATATTTTAACTATTTTTTCATCACAAAAACAGCCTCAGTAGCATGTGGAAGAACCATACACAGCCACAACAGCCCGGCACCTCGTCCTCATGCTGCTCACCAGCCCAGTCATGCACTGATGTGGAACGAAATCATTTAAGGGAGTGGTTCCCAACAAGTGTGTGTGKGGGGGGGGGGGGGGACCCAAATGAAAAAAAATAGAGCTTGAACATTAATAGCATAACGGACAGGTTTCTGACTCAGCTCCCACACACACACAAAAAAAACCAAGTCAAGTTTAAAGGTGTCATTCTGGATCAACAAACTTAATTTTTTTTCTCTCAGGGAGCTGTTCATGTTTGTGCACAGAGAGGCAGTTAAAAAACTAATTATTTAAAGCAATGTTGAACATTGTCACACTGTAAATAAAATTACCTTTTGCACTTAAAATAATTGCACTATTACGGAGCCCACAAGGGGACATGGGGGATTTTTTTCTTTTGCGTTCCCATTGCATTACCTCACAATACTTTTTCCATTCCCTTGCAAAAGTCCTTTATCACTGTTGTGGCTGGTTTCATAACAAATTCATATTCCCACCATAAAATGGGAGTTAGCCAATAGCAGAATGAATGTATCACAGCCACGCATGGAGATATTTAATATGCAGGTATTTTAACTCTGTGGAGCCACAAAAATCACCGTCAATTTCCCGAACTTGTGGCAACACATCCTGCTTTGGTAATCGGATATTTCAAAATAAAAGTCTGATTTAATTCAGTTCATACAAAACATTAAAGTTTTGTGAGGGAATGAAAAACAATATTGAATGCAATGGTATTGCAAAGTAACACAAAATATTCCCACATTCCTTCATGGGCTTCATACACTACAAAAGATAGTTTGTTTTATTATTTAAAAGATTTTGTGGTTTATTTATTGAAACCTGTAATACAGTATGAAATAAACTGCAAACAAAATGCCTTTGTGTCTGATTGGAGACTGTGCATGACAGGCAAAAGATTTTTTATAAAGTATTGTTATCACACAAAAAAAAAAAGATTAATCAAAACATTGTGCTATGTTTATGTGACAATTACAGATCTAGTCAATATTCTTAAGCCAGTTATAATTAGAAGAAAAACTAATTGTTGTAACTATTCACACATATTGACCTTTTAAAAGTGTCCTTCCTGTTAAATCAGCTCACTTGTATGTAAAAAAAAATCCACTATTCTTAATTGGCGAATTAAGCATAAAAAGTTGAGCAGAAGATTGCAACCAATTTCACAACTAGGCAGAAAAAAAACATCACACTAATACCTGTTTTAATGTACTTACGAATGTTTTAAAGATTAAAATCTCCAGTCTGTTGCTTAAAATGTAAATATATATTTTGAACTCTTAGTTTCTGTCTTTTATGAAACATATTTAGTTCACAAAAAAGGGAAAAAATGTAATTATTAGAGTGGATGCAGAGGGCCACTCAACTTCATTTGCATTCATTAGTTTTTTGAGTCACACCGTGGGTTCAGAGAAACACGAGCTCCTGGTACATTACAGAACTTTTTTTTTTTACTTTTTTCAAACGCTGCTGCTTTAGCTTTGGAGTTAAATTAGGGAGCACAGTTGTGCTTACCTTTTATAAATGAACCTTCTGGCCTCTCATCACTCCAAACCCAGAGACTAATACAGCGAGGCCCCAGCTTTTAAATATTAACTGAGCCCGGAGAGAGGGGGAGGCTATCCCTGACTTCTCACAAGTATATGTACTGTTAACATACAAATGCAGATCTTACACAGGATATAAATAGCTCTCTGTTCAAAAAGGTCCATGCGGGGGCCGGGCAGCAGTGATGCAGACAGCCAGTACCTGCTGAGGTGAAGATGAGGAAAAYGACACATAGAGTTGAGATAATGGGGGGCAGAGTGCTAGACTCACCTCAGGGACATTTCTCTTGAACTCCCTGCTCAGCTCTACCAGGTGCTTATGGGAATGCTCGCTCTCCTCTTGTCGACCAGCCAGCTCAGACGCCACAGAGTTTAGCTCCCTCTGCAAAACACACCAAAGAGAGAAACAGTGAGGGGAAGAGGAGCGGAGAGACGCGGCACTTTGGGGAGCGTGCCAACGCTCATCCAGTAAGGCTCGGAGTGTATATAAATAAAAATACACTGCTGAATATTAACAATGTAATCCTTCATGATCTCACAGCAGTAATACTTACAGCTAGTCCTGGCCCATAAATAATTAAGCCAAAATAAATCCAATGCCTACAGTAGCAGAAGGCCTTTTAGATAATCAGTATTTGAAATAATCGATATGCTTGCAACGGCTATAGAGCGCCAGCGAGCGAGTGGGGCGGGGGGAGGAGGAGGCAGAGAGAGAGAGAGTGAGGGGAGAAGAGGGGAGGAGGTGGGGTGAGTCACGTGTGGGGACCCAATAACCTGACAACCCCCGCACCCCGCCTACAAACAAACAGAGCTTCCTCCTGAAATAAAGGGCTGCTTTATAAGCTGGACCAAGACCTGATTCTAACACACAATGGACTCGCTTTCTGTCACAATTACCACAGGTCAGATCTATTTTCAGCCTCTTCTCCACCACTCCCCGCTCGCATCCACCAATCATTATATCGATCCTGCATCGATTTCCAATACCCGGCAGCAGTCTCCATAGTTTCAACCAAATGACCCTCCTGCTTCAACAACCACCCTGATCACTATTCCATTAATGTCTCTGTACGTTGCTTGTTTACATCTCTCTGTTATGCCCAATGAGAGCTCCACCCCGGCAACATGTCTGATCCACTATTCAAAGCTGTCCGTGCAGCGGGTCCTTCATCAAAACCTTGCATTCATGCTGGACTCAGCTGCACCGCACGCCATCCGCAAATCCAATATCATTGATCAGTCATCCAATTCCCGGCCCTTTCAGCAAGCAGAAAAAAAAGAAAAAGGAAAACAGATTCCAAGTCTGCTCCTCTGTGCTGAGCAGAACCCGAGCAGACAACTGGACCTTCAGCTCTTTGTTTTGACTGTGATTATCAGTAACTGATGAGGGCCTTCTCTTGGCACTGTTGTGTTAAAATATTTTTTTTTTAAAGTGGAAGAGAGGATTCAATTACCACAGCAAACTTATATGTGACACTGGGAAATTAAATCGACTGTTTTAATTAATCTGCAGTCTCACTTAAAGGCAATTTCATAAATCATCACGCAAGAAGAAGAAAAAAAGGACAGAAAGTGGAAGGATGAAACTTTAACAGCCACTGCCTCGTGGGACGGTCAGAGAACAGGGCTGTTAATTGAAGGGCTCCAGGTTCAGACCTCTGGACACACACAGCAGACAGTGGCTAAAGTGAAATATGCTGTTCTTCATATTTTAATGCACCAGCTAACCCTCCAGCATCTGTTGTTTCTGTTGGGTTAAGGTGAAAATGTAAAGCACAATTTGACAAATGAGACCAAATTATAAATGTCAGTTTGTGTTTTTGTGGTGTTTCAATCCTGCTCTGTCAACTCTGTGGCCCGAAGGCTGGCTCATACGGGTGAGAATCTTTTACTATCCCATGATTTGAGTCAAAATCGGTTTTTCATTCAAACTGATAATTGCGATAAATCACATGCGTTGAGTTCCCAAAGTGCTTCATCTTCATTTTGCAAACCTCGCACCAAGTGAAGCTCATGTCAAACTCTGACTTATTCAGTAAAAAACAAAACGAGCCCAAATCTTTGCTTTCAACAAAAGGTTGAATCTCTCTTTCCTCCATTTTTGTAGTTTCCTCTTTGTTTCATGCATATGTTCCAGAACCGGCTGACTGGTGACGTCAGGACATTTGTACAAAATGGAAGCTGACAGCAACTGGATTTGTTTTATATTTTAAAATTAATTCTGAATTGTTATAATGAGAATCATGATTCTGATGTGAATCTTTTTTTTTTTGGTGAACCCCTATTGTCTCAATTTGCAAGCTCTTTTTCATACAGCCAATGAAACATAAAAACGCCAAAACAAGCCAATGATCTCCCAGAATTCATTGCAATGTCAGCAAAGGAAACATGCAAACAAAGACGGTTGAGGTTTTATTTTTGTTGTTGTTTTTTACCATGTCTGCATAGTTTGGAAACTCCTCGTAAACTGATAAAAATTGTTTTAAATGTATATTTAGCAACTTTATTGATGAAATTTATACTGCAATGGTAAACAAAAGACAGTTACAGGTATTGAAATTGGAGCTAATCCTAAGTTATTGATGGTTTTATTTACCAACAAATTGGCTCCACTTGACCAAACTTTGACAATAAAGTGATCTTTTGGTTTAAGCTGTATCACAAACTGAACACAAGGTTTAATAAAAATGCCCTACCCTGCAGTCTTCTTTCATATGGCTCAACAATAACCAGAACTCAACAATGAGCTCATTTTGAGGATCATTTTTAGCCTGTTTTAAAATCACTGTGAATCACTGAAAGTCTTACTAACCAAATAGATTGTTTTCTTTTTGCTTTCGTTAGACGTTCTCTTGTACTGAAACTACGCTCTTTCTCTACCCACCCTGGCACAACTGTTCCAGACCACATCAAGATGCAGCTAGATGCTATGCTAGCACAACACTTCAGCCACAAGTATCTCTTCTTGTTTGATCGTTTTCATGGCATTGCCAAGCCGAGGCATAAGGTTAAGCATGGCTAATCTGCTTTAGATTCTCAAAGACCAAATCACAAAAGCTTTTGCACAGGCCCCACATCATAAATACACTGCCACCATGCTCACAAATCTCACTAATTATTCCATTATAAATAACTCTATTCATGTTTTCATCCACATCATATTAACACTATTTTATGTTTCCCATTAAGGAGCTCTTTACTCTTACTGATATTTAATTAAGAAAAATATATTACCCAACAAAGTTTTAACAAATATTTCAAGTGGTTATAAAAGTTAAATAACTTTTTTCTAGAAGTGGGGGATAAATGTAAACAGATATAAGAGGTTGGCATTACAGATAGGTTTGATCAATTATAGATTTTGGTTATTTAGTGGGATCTGCTGACATAAGAAAAATAAAGAATCATATCATCTAATAAGGGAAGTGATGAAGTGAACAGATGTTAGAAGTGTTTTAGGTTCAACATTATGACTCAGTCACACCATCTGAAGGGTTGTGTATAAACTGATACAGTATGTATAGGCTCAACAACTTCATACCATTATGCAGCATCTGTGTAAGTGGGCTGTGGTGGTATGTATGCAAAGTCTACCAAGTTCAGAGTCTAAAAACTGCATTTCTCACCTGACTTTTTGTGGAAAATACAGATAAAACATTAATAAACATCTGATTAATACAACCACTGTTCATAATTAAACTCTGAAATGTCCCAGTCTTCAGGTCTGATTTAGTTTGTGGGAAATGTCTCATTGTCTGTGAATAAACTGTCAGTGGAAAAAGGCCATAACTCCACAGGATAAGGCGACTTTTTAAATTACTGTTAGTCCTTACAGTCCATCTGGGATGAGCCTTCCAGGAGATTAGAGATCAGGCTTTCAGAGGAGTGGGCAACCTCCACTAGATTCAAATGGCCCCAGACCAGCTAATCTTTCCAAGAGAAAATTCCTCAAGAAGTGACTGAGTGGATTTTTTTAAGTGCTTAAGATATAACCATGCCGTGGCCTCTGCGTAGAGCTGGGCTCAGTTTTATGGCAGCTCGACTAATGAGAATGGTGGATCCTCCTGCAGTATGCAAGCCAAACAGTGCAATCATTGTAGCATGGTTATTTTGAAAGCATCCCCACAGTTTCTAGACCATTATGAGGGAGGAGAGCCTGGGCAACAGCCCATCAAATGAAACCTCCTGCCTGTCTTTCTTGAAAGAAGTGAGGCAGAACAGACTGTTTGCTACTTTAGTTGTCTTGATGATGGGAGGAACTGCGCAATATGGGGCTGCTGACAAAGTAACTCCAGAAGGCAAAAAGAAACCAAAGATTTTTCTTCTCTTTGTAATAATCAGATGTGATCCATTCCAACCTACAACTACGGCACYTTTGAATTCACTTATCTCCTTTCATTATGTTGAACTTCATCTTTCATGAATATGGAGATGCTCATATTAAGAATAGGAAGAGGTGAGCTGCAACAAGCTGGGAACATGGTGGTTTCTCAGAAACCATTTGACAGGTTTTAAGACGGACAACTGGGACCAAGTTTTCAGTGTGTGGCAGTCTGGTCAATACAGAGCTCCTGTCATTAAACCTCTGCCAGTCAAACATCCAGCCATAATTGATGAGTTTCCCCTGGGGAGGGCGGAGCTGTCATTGGGACTGGAGGGGTAGCGGYGAAAGATTTTGAGCATGGAACTAYAGTCCTGTTGGGCTGGAGTCAATATGTCATGGAAAAGCAATCTTAGTGACTCCGGACTCAAAACAGAAACAAGAAAACTGTTGGTTTTACTAAGACAGATCTGCACAATTGATGTGCTTGAAACTTAATGACGCTCTGAACAGAGTGGGGGGGATCTATGGAATCATTAGTCAGAGCCACAAATAAAATCATTAGAGCCAAAAATAAAACCCTAAATCTCCTGAATTTTTTTTTCATGTTTCCATACTCAGAATTGGGTGATTCCATTATTTGTTTCCCTGTGCTTGGTCAATAAAAGTAATATTCACTGACTTCCACGATGTTTTCTTTTCATTTATTAGTGTTCCTGAAAGCCAACAAGTTACACTTTGGAATGACCTCATCATTGTATCATTGGAATGACCTTATTATTGTATCATGTTTTTGATCCGAGTTTGTTTTACAGAATGAAATGTCTGAATGAGTGCTCATTTAAGACTGGTGATTCCATACTTTTTGCCAGGGGTTGTAGTCTGGAAAGAACTAAAACACACCACCAAGGATCAGAGCATAGGCTACCTGTCAACTATATTACATTTCTTTAAACAAAGAAAAACAACTTGTTTTCTTAAGGAAGATGGCAAACAAGTTAAAACTGGCAAATTGTCGAAGCAAAAAGATGTACTGTAACAATCTGRGGCAGTGGAGGGTTTGTTGTAAAAGCAGGGCTCACTAGTGTATTGTTTTCAAGTACATCTGACATTGATTCATTAAACCCAGCTCATCTTGATTACATCTGTAGTCGTAAGCTATTTTCTGGCCTTTATCAAAGACAACCCAAAGTAGAAAATGTTGACAAGTGGGGGAAAAAAATCCTACTAGGGTACTGCAATGAGGTAGAGTGAGTCAAAATCACTATTGTGCTCACTGAGCTTGGACAGCACAAATTAAAAAGGGGGGAGAAAAAAAAAGAACAAGAAAGAGGAGGAGAGAGGGGAAAATGCAGATGGGGTATTATTTTTCTTTTTGTATCCCATCTAATTGCAATCATAGGCAGATGTCTGAAAGTGTGACAGCATCAGCAGAATTGCTGCTGAGAGCACAAAATCTTTGTCTAAAAATAATCAGACATTCTGTGAGCTGCTGTTTGTTATAACGGTAATCGATGCTGGAGGCTTTGAATTCCATCAATTTATAGATCCACTCTGTTCTGCCTGGTGACTGTACTGACTCACAACCCCCCACCGCACACACACACACACACACATACACTCATCTCAATGCAACACAACAACACATTCGCATGCAAGGTCTTGCAGAAAAAAAACTATGTGGTTTGGCACACAYGTGCTCCGACACAGGAGCTGCAGCTAGAGAGGCAGCTCAGGGGCCAGTCTGTGATTATGATAAGTGTAGTTTTCTTTTCATGCGCTACTTATCGTCTCCCCCCCTTTTTTTTTTTTGTTTTGTGAGGCACAGGATTGTCTATAGCTGCCTCAGATTAGCCCCGCATCTCAGATGGCACATTTGAGAGGGCGCAGTGATCAATAAATCAAATCGCCACAATCAATGGTCCCAATCACTGCAGTCTAGCCTGGACTCAACATTATTACTGGCAACCCCCCCTCCATCACTGAGACAGAGGTTTGGAGAAGGCGGGTAGGGGTGGGGTGGTTGTGCGGGAAGGCACACACTGGC